CGGCGGCCGGCGCGGGGGGCCAGCCTCCCCAAGCCAACGCACCTACTGCCTTAACTGTGCTTTTGTGCCTGTTGTTTAAAGATGAACTGATCCGCGAAACGACGATTAACTGTGCAGAGCGAGGGCTGTTGCTGCTTCGAGTCCGAGATGAAATCCAAATGACGATTGCTGCTTATCAGACTCTGTATGAGAGCAGCGTTGCCTTCGGCATGCGGAAGGCACTGCAAGCTGAGCAAGGCAAATCTGACATGGAGAAAAGAGTGAGTTGGGCTGTCAACCTCGTAAGGTAGCTTTCTGCATGTGATAAAGCGTAACGATTTCACGTACAAAATTTTATATAAAATCAGGTATTTCTACTTCCACTGGATGGCAGTAAAGACCATCAAGATACTTACCTTACTGTAGGGCTTAATTGTACTCCATAAATTTATCTGTTCTACCTATTGTACTGTACAACATAAAACTTGAACCTGTCTTAATTGGAAATTGCTTATTAACAAACACGATTTGAGCAATCTATACTCTTTTCCAAGATTGCAGAGCTAGAGGAAGAAAAGCGGGAGCTGGAAAAGCAAGTGACTGAACAGAAAGCTAAATGTGAAGCTATTGAAAAACGTGAAAATGAAAGGCGACAGATAGAGGAAAAGAAACACAGTGAAGAGGTCCAGTTCCTGAAACGAACAAATCAGCAGCTGAAGGTTAGGATGCATTTGTATTCATGTTCCACCTTCTTTGAATTCTCAGTGAAATAGGAAAAATGCTCTTCTGCATACTTTACTTCCTTGCTCCGTCAGTAATTAGTCATCATGAGTAAAACTGATCATCCAAACAGCAGGTCAGATTCATTGGGCTCTAGTTATATACAAATTTGCCACAGGGATATCACAGTTTGTTCTGATAATGCTAAATCCTTATGGTCAGTTAGCAGACGCACACAGATGAACCCCAAATATAGACTTCAAATTTGACGCCCCTGGAATCTATTTATGCATAACTTGATTTTAAGGTTGTTGTAGCTGCCATCCCTTTTCAGCTACAAAAAAGAAAACTTAATAAAGACAAATGAAGAAAGTTTTGTTTCTTTGCTGTTGGCCAGAGCAGCTAAGTTTACTCCCCGATAAGAAGAGACACCATTTAAAATTAAACATTGCCTAATAAGAGCAATTGTGTATTATATGCAACAGAGACTTTTTTCTTTTATCCTTGCCTCAAAGCTTACATGAGATACACTGTACTACCAAAAGCTCAGGCATCAATGAGAGGGTGCCTAAGCCCTGTGCTTATGTATTGTAATTTAACATTCCACTTTCCTTGATTTATAAACAAGGTAAGTTACCACTTTTCCAACCCTAGATAGAGAGGTCAACTAAAAAAAAAAGGCACAAGACTAATCTGTGGCTTACATCCTTAAAACATGTATTTGGTTATTTTATTTTCATCTCTGTGGGAGAAGTAGCATTCTCTTTCTTCCCTTACGGATGCTAGTCCTCATCATAAGGTGTCAGTTATTTCATATACAGTGGGCAGACTCTACTATAGCAGATTTTAACTACGCTACCTGGCCTGGAAAACAAACGTTGAATTATCAGTTACTGATCTACTCTTTGTATTTAGGGATCAGAGGCACCCCCGAAAGGTGTTTGAGAAGCTCTTTAATAGATGCATTTGTTGCAAATCTAAAGACAGCGTGAACTTTAGTACAGTCTGGAATAGTTACAAGAGAACCAAGTGCGCATTTGTAGTATGGATTTAACTTCTTATACATTTTTCTAATAAAACTATTTAGCCATAGGGTCAAATCCCCCAGGGAAACTTGGTGGCACTGTTGTCATATTTTCCTCAAAACTTCCAATCTACATCTCACATAACCGAGCTACAGACAATAGCAAAACCTAAGGGCAAGCACACACTATTGCCTGGGTTTCTAAGCTTCTAAACATTTAAAGTGTGATTACCATATTGCAGGTAAAAGTATGTGTCCTGTTCACCTGTTGGTTGCTAACATGCTACCATGGACAATGGTGAAGCAATTTGTCCTATGGTGCTCTTGACTGGATCACTGAAATTGATTTGCATAGGACAGAAGTAATTTTGTGCATGCTACTACTCAGCAGCCAAGACACCTTCAGTTTGACAAAGACAGATTTCTTTGCTGTTGGGGGAAAAAAAAAAATCAGCTTTTGATTAAAGAAAAAACGTAATCAGAAACAACATTAAACTTGTCTGTCTAGAAGTTTACTTTGCACTCAGCTGCTTTCCTTATCTTTAACATTCTTACTGTTTTTCTTGTCTAAACCATTAACATCTTCAAGCCGTCTTGAACTGTTTAGGACATGAAGTGGAATAACTGTTAGATTAAAGACGTGTTGCCACTGAAGCTGTTATTCTTCTTTGAACTAGAAATATTTTAACAGCTATATATATATATATTATATATATATACACACACACACACAGACTCCAAAACTGGAGTTTATTTTGATGGCAGCAATATGAAGAGGACAATCTGCAAGTCCCAGAAGCTTCATATACCAAAAACTCCCTAAGCATTGGTAGCTCGCTGATCAATCTACTAATTGGGCATCAAGTTGTCTCAGTAACTGAAAAACTTGCTGTTCCCAGTTCCTTTTGTCCCAGAGTCAGAGCTTGTGTTCCAGACTGTAAAGAGCCAAACATTTAATTTAGCGAACATAGTCTAGCCTGAAATCAGAGAACTCAGACCACTGTTTCAACAGCTTTTATTTAATTTCCTTTTCAATGCTTTACATTATAAAATGAGTCTTTCATTGTATGGAACCAAGGCCAGCTCTTTTCTTCTCAGAAGGCAACAAGTGTGCATGCCAAGAATGAAAAGTTAATTTATAAAACATGTAGTAAGAAATGAAATAACCAGAGGAAAAAACCCTAGCCTATTTCTCTTGAAGTATTGCAGCATCCCTCAGCTGCTCACTTTGAATACATAACAGACAATTTATCGCTTTTCAGCAATGTGGGTTTATTTTTTAGATTAAGGCTAATTTAACTTACTGTCTCATTTGTTTTCAGGCTCAACTTGAAAGCATCATTGCACCAAATAAGTAGATTTCTTGTTGTCCTCCCGGCAGCGCTCAAAAGAACTGTCAAAGCAAGAAGTTTGCAATTAGTGAAAAAGATCTGTCTTCATAAAACAACCCTGAATTTTCACTTACCAGTAACTGAAGGCAGTGTAGTTGTATTAATTCTCCCTTTCAGTGCTGTCTAAACATTCAGCTCCTTGAATGGTGAGCCTATCTGGGACATACCTGTTGATAATATGCTACATAACCTGCAAAGCAATATACTAATAAACTTTTTTTTTTTCCACATACAAGCCTCTGTGTAAAATTCTTAACTTGAAAATGTTGTATAAACTTCAGAAACAATTACGAAATGTCTATAATTAATACAAGAGCAAGAACAACTATCCTTTATATAATCATTTTAGCACCAAGTATTCAGGTAGCAAAAAGGTAGGTCTGAATTCATTAAGATGTGTCATTAAGAAGCACATCTAGTCATGCTGCATACAAGCAATTCAAGAACCAACTCACTTTATTTTTATCTGAGTCAAATATGTTTTTGAGAGGAGATAGGAGGATAAAAACCAACCTTTGTTGCGTAACAAAATTGCAGGCCTTTTATTAGGTTGCTTTTTCTCATTTGGGCTCTCTATCCCACTATCTTACGCTCTTCACATACTGCTTAACAAAGGCAAAAGCTGACCATAATCTTCCACTCTCATTGCAATCCTGCTGCCCTTAGTAGACATCAGTACTAAGGATATATAAATTAGAGATGGTACTTGCAAGCTAGATACTTTTGGATCCACACTGCAATAAGCAGGCACGTGCTTACAACTTCACTGTGAAACTTTCTTTTAATGCCTGGTAATAGGAACACTGTTCAACATCTCAAAATTAAATACAATAGTTAGGATATTTTTTAGAATTAATACTCTATAGTTGTCACATCCACTATTAAGAATCAAATTACAGGTAATTTTTGGACGGAAGGTGCTTAGAGGATGTTTCCTTTGAGTATGTGCAAGTTGGTGTTAATTGTGCATCAAAAGCCTTTGTCAAAATAGTTAGTAGTAAGCTAGGGTGAGCAATATTAGAAGTCCTTCAGGTGCTTAATAAGCAGCACTGAAACAAAGAGGTATGATGCCACTCCAAGCATCATTTCTCAACAGAAGCAAATGAAATCTTTCCTTGAGGCACCTGTATAACTAGCTGGTTATATACATATCAAGCAGACTTTGGGAAGATAATTCTCTGTAGTCATATGAACAACTCAGTAAAAGCTACTTTTCAGGGAAGGGGGGGTGGGGGGAAGAAATCTGAAGAGCCTTGTTAACCTGTCTGCTGAAGAACATCTCAGATTGTTTTGGCAGTGCAACGTATATTGACCTTAGATGGTGATGTGGAAATAGCATGATCTCTATCTGCAATAAAGAACATTTCTGCAATTCAGAAACCAAGAGGATGATGCTACTCCTGGGAACAAGACAGACAAATCAAATCAGGCTTTGAATGGGAACGGCAAGTATTATATAAAAAAAAAGTCACTGCATACTAGAGCTGTTTTATGTAAAATTTAATAGAACCAGCAGTTATTGCTTATGCTTGTATTTCTTGTGCTTTGATCTTTGTCCCTCCAAGCCACTTTTTTTCTTGTTCTTATTCTTATTTTTCACGTTGTGAGTTTCGTAATATCGGACTCCAACTTTCTTGGAGCGCTGCTGCCTCTCAGCTCGTCTCCTCTGCAAATACACACAAAACTCATTAGCAAATCCACAGTATTCATAGTCTGAATTTGTGTGCATTCTTTCAGTGGGAATTCACTGTACCTCTGAGTACTTTAAGTGAAATAAGATATAATTTCATACTAAACATTACTCATGTGATATGCTTTCATCTTTTCAAAAGTAATGAACAAAATATGGGAAGCAAATCGAGGTGCACAGTCACATAGAAGTCTTCAACAGACCGTATACCATGAACGGACTCCACTCTTCCTCTTCCCTTTGACAGTTTTAACAGCGAATTCATAGCAAATGCTCCAAGAGAAACTTGCCATACAAGGTATGCTTACAAATCACTTTCAAAGTCCTACAAGCACACTGCCTGGCTTAGTGTTTAAGTTGCTTCAAAGAGAATTGTTCAGACTTGACTAACGCAAACAGGAAATAGTAGCAGCTTTCTTTGTAGCCAGAACTGAACAGCCACTGACTCTAGATCTAGATCCAAATCCTCCAGTCTCCCAGCATTTAGACCCTTATTTTCTTCCCAGCATCAGTGGACAAGCTAAGACCGAAAGCAGAACAGTTCTTTAGACAGAATTTTCCATTTCAGCACTCCTACTGTAATAGATACCCGCTGGACGCTTGTATTTACCTTGGAAACATGCTCAGCTGGAAGACACTGTTGTCACATCTCTCATGCCAGTAGCAGGCCATCCTGTCTTCCCATTCGCCCTACCTCTCCTAGAGGCCCTATCCTCTCTCCTTCCTACCAGTGCTAAGTCTCAAAGCTCTTAAATGATATCAGACAACCTATGTAGAAGAAAGCTAGCTCTACTCCTTCTCTCATTTTTTCTACTACAAGAGATCACACTTACTTCTTTGGATGTAAGTTTCTTGCAGGGCTGTTTAGCCGAATGGCCATCTTCATCCTCCTCTTCTGCTTTCCTTTTTCTTCTCTTCCCTGTGCAGCCTACAAACAGCACAGATCACATACTCCAGCATCTTCCAAAACCCCCTTCTGTTTGCAGAACTTAAGACTGGGGGCTGCGTCACCATCCTGTCTACTTCAGCAAAGCATTGCTTTAGTCACGTTATAATAGCTCCTACCAAAACGGCACGCGTGTTCCTTACCACAGAATCACGCAATTATTTATTACTATGAAAGCTGTTCTTCAGCAGCAGGCTGTTTAAAGCCACGTTCAAGTCTAGAAAAGTTTCTTACTCTTTTACTGTCAGAATAAGGTTCTCCTACACTACTTTGCCTTTAATCAAACTTGGAAGTTGAAACCACAGGCTCCTGAAAGTCATCACAGTAAAATCCATCACCTAAAATATCTCCATGCTTTTATAACGTAAAACCCTTCCAGCCCACCTTCTACAGAACATTACACCACGTGGAACAGAAGTTGCTTAGACCGCAATCTGCTAGTAACACCATGCTGCTGGGAATTCAACGTTTGCCTCTGTTCACTGGCAGAGCAACGTATCATCTTGCTATACAGACAGGTGTTCTACAAAAAGGCACCTGGAAGATCACCAGGAAGCCCTCATGCTAGGTAATGGACAAGTTTAAATAGCTTTAGTTCCTGACTGAATGTTCTTTACCTAATGAACCCTCTCCCATCAATTCCCTCTCTTCTCTTGCTCACAGGATTTCCAAATGTAGATTTCGAATATATCTCAGTCTTTTGGTTTACCTCTGTCTTCGTTTTCTTTGAGTTCTTCAGACTTCTGCTCAGATTTCGCAAATACTTTTTCACTCAGCTGTTTAGGGATTCTACAAGAGATAAAATAAGCAACGAAACAATGTCACAGTCCAAAATGCAGCCATCTCTTAGAAGTGGTCAGCCTCCAACAGATGCTAATTACCTGTCAGCAAAGCCACAGCCTCTACCCCTAGGAAACACACTGCAGTAATTGTCTCTGTAGTTAGTGGACTAGTGCAAAGCTCAAAAGGGACAAAATATAACACTTAGCCTTGACAGCTTTGTCCTAAAAGCTGAGGAGCGAGCTTTGCTAAAACTGAGCCTGCCGTATGAGCTAGGATATGCATGTACATGTGTGGAGACCGAGGTGGCACATCCAGGAAAACGCTATTGCTACCCAGAATACCGACAGGTTTCTAATCCATAGTTTAAGAGGCAGCTTTCCAAAGGCAAGAACGTTTTTGGCTAGGATGGCAAATAGAAAACTTATTTAAATAACATTTCAAAAAACAAAAACCACTTCTGCTTAGCCAAATTTCCAATATCTATGGCTAAACTAGAGATGTTGTGGCAATCCTAACACAGGGGAACCAGTCTAGCGAGTCACGAATGGAGTGCAACTACAGCAGAACCACGTTAACCTTTTTTTCTTGTGGAACACTTGACTCACTGGGCAGAATCAGATACCTTATTGCTGAGAATCTCTTGGCTTTGGCTTTATCCAGGAATTTTTTGTATTTTGCAATCTTTTCCTCCAAAGCCTGAATAACTGCCTTAGAGCTCTCCCTGGCATCTTGTACAGCTGACTGTGATTCCTCCTCTACTGCAGAGTCTTGGTGTTGCTCATTTTCCTCCTCCTCCTCTTCCTGCTCCTCCTCTGCAGGAGAGTCACTGTCTGTTTCATCAAAGCCTGACACATCTACAGGAACCAGGTCTTCTTCTGAGAACTGAGGCGCCACATTAATCCTCCCAAAGTTCTGCCGAACATGTGACATAAGTTGCTTAATTTCAGTGTCTGTATTGTTTTTCTCTTCTGCTGGCTCCACGCTTGATGCTACTGGCTCAGAGATTTCCTCTTCACTGTTATCTTGACTTGATGCCATTGCTACTTCCAATGCAGGAGGCTACAAGAGTATAATGGATATATTATCCACAAACAAAGTCTGACCCACCATCTCCCTGTTACATAAATATTCACTTTGTATCAGCCCTCCTGCACCTTGGATCTGCCATATTTTTTACAGCAGCAGCCTCCAGGAATGGGAAGAAGAAAGGACAAAAAGATGATCTGTAAGCAAGTAGTGCCTTCAAACACAGAATCTTTCAAGATGGTATGAGCCTTTATCTATCCTAGCTGTTCTCATTCAGCTTCATTCCTTGGTGGGGCGGGGGCAGGCGAGGAGAAGGCACAGAAAGTCTGGAAGCATTATAAATAATCTCAGAAAATACATTAAGGGTCAGAGGGATATGGGTATGACTGCACATATAAACAATCCTTGGAAGACAGCCAATGGTAAAAAATGCAATTTTTAAAAAATGGACTTTTTCTCCCTCCTCAAGTGTTAGAAAGAAATCAAGAAGTTTTAGTTACTCCAGAATAATTATGTAATTCCCATTCCGTTGCTGCACAGCACATCAGGCTGCATGGAATGAAACGCAATAGCAAACTTTGGTCTGACGTTATTGCAAAACAAGTATGCTCTAGCAACAAAGTCTCATGAGAGCAATTTCCATTTTATCTCTCTGGAAAAAGCCTAACATAGCGAAGGCTGTGATAATTACTGACATTTCTGCTAGTCAGATGACTGTAGGACAGCTCAGTGTAAGACAGAACACAGCTACCCGGCCCTCTCTATATTTTTACCAAATTCAAGTGAGCGTCACCTGAATCACCAGATTAAAGCAGAGCTTGAGATGTGCACTGCTCAAGTTACAACAGGGAATCCTATTAGGAAAACTGAATAATCTGCAAGAGAAAGACAGATCCCCATATTTGCAGGAAGAGGGACAGGCATTAGCATCACATTCTCACCTGAGGACCTGCTTCTGCGTTAGGTGGCTTCACAAAGAATGGAATTCTGCCCCTCTGCCAGTCATTGAGAACCATTTTGCTCACAGTTTGCACATCAGGCTCGCCACCCTGAAAGAATAATAATTTCTGTCCATATTCGCAGGGCCAAACATACCATCTTTGTATTTTCTCATTGTTCCCATGTTCAGTGCTGGAACATGGCCCACATACTCTTCCAACCCGCAAATGCAGAAAGTTGTCTCACCTTTAGCAGTTTTCCAGTCCTAGAAGCAAGCTTCTCAAGAAAGTCTTCCGTATCCTTCCAGAAATCAATTTTGTATGTCTTTCTGATGTACTCTGGTTTGGCTCTTTCCAGCACTGCACTAATATGATCTTCAGGGCTTTTAATCTTTTCAACTTGAACCTAAAAACAAATGGCAGAAAGTCAACCCTTTGGAACATCAACATGGATCTTTGTACAAAGCTCAAATACTTTAAGCAAGCCTATCCGTGATGAAAATTCAGTTTCCATTCTCTCATTGCTCTTTCAGGTAACTTGAGTTTAGGAAGGGAAGTTTTTGGTTTTTTTTTTTTTTTTTAAAAAAACACAAATGTAGGACAGTTTCTGCACCAGAAAGCAAATCAGTGAGTTGAAATAAGGCTCAGGTGTTGCCATTCTCCTTCACACTTGGTATTAACCTGATTCGTCTTAATGATGAACCTTAAACTGTCCCTCTGTGCAAAAAGGAACAATTGTACAGACTGCTCAGGCTCTTGGAGAGCTATATAAATACAATTTCTGCTCTAGTAGACATCCCCTTTCTAAAGTTTGCAATAAATAAAATTCCAAAGTTGTTACTTCTGACAGTAGAAGCGTGTATTAGTTTCTCTGAACCCATCATATTGACAACAGTAGAGATTTCCCAGCGTTTCGTACACATACATACCACTCCCTTCAGCACAATGTCGGTTTCAGTGTCTCCAGACGGATAAACTACACCCGGGCAGTCAATGAGAAAAATCCGCCGCATCAAGGTAATGTATTGCCACACCTGAAAGATTGATAGTCTCCATGCTACCTCCTTCCGTTCATAGCCATTGGTTCCGCTTTTTAAATGTGTGGTAACAATATACAGGAGTCATCTTAGGAACTTGGTATTACACACAGAAACATAGTATATCTTAGCATTTTTGTTTAAACTAATCAACATATACTGCAGCTTGCTGCTTCTGTATCAGCCAATGCTATCCCTAAGGTATTAAAATACTAACTCATAGGACCACGATGAGGAAATTACATTCCTAACAAACTCTGATATTCAGAGTTTTTCTTCTTTCCTGATCTTCAACTTCAGTTATATTTATAAGCAAAGGGAACAGGCTGTCCAAGAATGTTTCTGTAACTTTTTCCTTCAAGAATATGACAGTAAACAAGAAGAACAGAGTTGGTAAACTAGCACTGACAGAGCCTGACAGCACAAATATACCCAATCATTTGATTCAAGAGAGCATAGGCACTGATTCAGGGAAGCTGAGCATTCAGATCACAGCACTACAATACCAGGAAACTGGCAGATATAGGAATGTTTCCAGTAGCAGTGCTCCACAGCAACGCTTCATGATTAGCCACTCCTCAGATACAGAGTCACATAGCCTGTACAGTTCGAGTGCTGGCCTTGAAAACATCATTGAGCAACATCAGTTGCCTTCACATAAAGTCTGCCACCTGCAATGCACTTCCAGAAATAATTTTTATCCAAATGTAGGGATTTTTTCCTACCTTTGTTTCACCTGCGATGGGGGCCACACTGCAGACCTTCTTAGACCGCAATGTATTGATCACTGAGCTTTTGCCAACGTTTGGATAACCAATGAAACCCACACTGATCTGTTTCTTGTCAGAGTGTAACTGTTAAGAAATAACATACCTTTTTAATACCTCAAAGAGAAAAGCAGAGTTACTATTCAAGTTCTAAAACTTACAAGAACTGAGTAGTTATTGTCCTCATTATAATGAAAACAAAGGCAGCTTCAAAGTACACCAGATCAAATAAATGAGATCAGCTCCCTTCTATTAGGAGAAACGTATAAGGGTATAACTAACAGGTCATTCAAGAACTCCAAGGGTTTAAGAAAATATCTGCAGACCCCTATTTCAAAAGGGAAAAGTGAATCTCTTGCATTCTTTGTTGCTGTAAAGTTACTTGTGGATGCCTTAAGCTAGAAGCCATTTCGGCTGAGAAATCAAGCAAATATAAACAGAAGCTGAAGACAGCAAATAATCTAACCAAGACAAAGCATCTCTCTCAAGAAGATGAAGGCACTTAAGAGGAAAATATCTTAACAGAACATGCATACATATAGGAGGGTACATAATAGAGGGACACACTTCAGATCAGTTTTAGACATTTGAGAGTTATCTAGGAGCATCAATGGGATACTCTTTCTATAAGAAAACCTAGACCAGAGATTTGTGGTCAAACTGACTCTCACTGGATCTGCTCAGTCTGACAAACATTTTGAACGTCTCTCAGCAAGGAACATTTCCCATTTGCTCTCCAACGAAGGAAGTTTTGTGAAGAGAATCATTCACTGACAGCAAATACTTTAAAAAAAAATAAAAACAACAACAACAACAAAAAACCCATGCACCACCACCACCTTTCCAAAGAAAAGGTCCTGTACCTTTCCAAACTGCCTTAAAAGCTGTATGAAGGCTCCTTTGCCAAAAGGGTTTGTGAGACTGGCATGAAAAGCAAGTGTTGGATACTCCTGGGAGAGGACAGCAACCCAGCGCTTCTGAAGAGGAAAACACAGCTGAGTTAGGGATCCTGTGCTGCAGAGACGGAGAAACAATCTGCTTATGAGCAGAAGAACACAGCATCTTCACATGGGTCCTGAATGCAACTGCCTATGAAAATTGCTATGAAAGAATCTTTGAAGCATTTCACCAACCTAACGGCTAAAGGCACTGACTTACTGTTTTTATAAAAGACAAAATTTCCCAAAAATGCATTTGTTGTTAGCTAAAACTAATTAGCTTAACACTATAAAACAGACCACCTGTGGTGGATATGGATCTTAAGAGGACTAACATTTTGCAAGCTCTGGAGACACCAGCTGAACAGACAGAGGAAGCAGAGAATTTGTGGCTGGTGACTGTTGCTTGACTGAGCCAAACTTGGACAGATTTACACTGTAATTTTTACTTTTACAGCAGGAAAGTGGAGAGTTCCTATTGACTCAGGGTTACATTATGCCCTCTGAGAGTAGCATGAGGACTGACAACAAAATTAGAGTAGAGGCTACAGAAGGAACAAGAAGTCCAAGACACAACAGGCAGGACAGAACTTACTGTAGCCCAAGTAGGAATAAGATCACATTTGTTCAGGACAAAAATGAGATGTTTCCAGTGTTTTTCCTTTTTAAGGTAGGATTCCACGTGAGGGGAGCGAGTACCCATGGGATCCCTGGCATCAAGAACTTGCACGACAACATCTGATGAGTCTATCACCTGAAAAATAACACAGAAGGAAAGGACGTTACAGAGTAAGACATCTGCACCTCCAGAAAGAAATCTAGTGATTTTCTAAAATACATCACTAAGCTAAAAGCCTCGTATCCATGATGAACAACTGTTACCTCTCCATAGACCAGTGAAGCTCAGACTAACATCCACTGATTCCCTGCTTTCTCTTCTGCTACGCTCCTCCAAACACAGGCTGGAGAGCGAAACAGGGCTTACCTACTCTTATGCACCAGGATTATGCACATAGCACTTGGGAAAGTAAGAACTGCACCAAGAAGAGCAAGTTAATTACTTTAGTAGACAAAAAACAGTGTTTTCCATCCATTTCGCAGCAATTCAATTCTGCCATTTCATAAAGGATCATGATATAAAGTGTTTTCTGGATCAATATGACATGCACAAACAAGTAGGAACCTGCTCTTAGTCCACTAAGCATCTACAGTAGGGAGCTATCATTTTCTGACTTGCTTCAAGCCAAGTGAATTTGTTTCACAGCTATTTCCCATTTTGGCAGCGTCTTACTGAAATCTGCTTTGCTCTATCATTCCCAGCACTTTTAGATCTAAAGGAGAAGGTTTTAAGCTACATTCAGAAATTCAGAGCAAGAAGTCGAGTAATTTCACATCTAACAGTTACTGACTACATGCAAACCGTGCTCTTATGACCCTAATTCATTCTCGGTCTCCGTTCCTCTAGTAGTCAGGGTGACTGAAGCGAACGGAGGGTCAGAGCATTTCAGAGAAAATCCTGTCAATTTGCCAGATGTTTTTTGCCTAAAGAAACTTAAGAGCATCTGACTAGTTTATTTGTGGTGAAGCCCCAAGAATCTCAGAGAGACTTATATATAATCTAGAGAGAGCCTGGCATTTTTGGGAACGTTTATCCCACTGGGACAAGAGCTCAAGAGTGAAGCTCAGTCGGGCAGAATCTCTATCCCCTTCTACAGCCATTTTTTTTCCTGTTCTGGTTGTAGTACCATCTCAGTATTAGACCCAAAAAAAAAAAAAAAGAAAAAAAAGAAAAAAAAAAGGAAAGAAATTGTTCCAAGTCAGCCAGTTCAATTAGGCTGACAGGAAAACAGTAAGGAAGTTGCATACGTGGGACATTTGCGCATACAGAAAATCTTTACGCTTCTAGGCAACTTCGAAAACAACAAATTCAGCTGTATCAAAGGTTCCCTAACACGGGCAAGATCTGTCACTAAAGGGTTTTCAGAGCTTTTCTGGTTATTGCTGTGTGAAGTTTCCAAGATAGGGCTAAAGCATCTGACTTGATAAATGTCAACGTAGATGCACGACTGCTGCAAATCGTAAATGTTGCTTACCTTGTAGAGCTCACCCCAGATTCTTTTGGACTGCCCCTTCTTAAATATTTCTTCTTGTGCTTCATCCCTGGAAGTGGATTACCAGAGACATCAGCAACCACAGTAACAGTTACAGCATTGTCTTCTCAAAAGCCACAGACACAGGAAATGAGGCCCAAATAATAGAGCACTGAGATCTGGCTATTTTTGTCTAACTTACCCATCTGCAGAAGGATTCTACAAATATATACCGATTTAGAGGGTCATATCTGCATGTTGGTTGGCTTCCTGTCTAACACAAAATCTGAGCTTGGGGATATTCAGATATGCAAGAGTAGATGACTTACTAATGAAGATAGAAGGTTCCCATAGGAAAAAAAAAAACATTTGCTTAAATATATAGGGACAAAACAAGATTATAAAATCCCAGTCAAATTTACCTAATTTTGCTTGCTTACTCCTCATATGCTAACAGCATTGATGAATGTACTAGAAACATTTTTCCCCTTTTTTGAATAAAGCTGGCTGTTCAGAAGCATAAACAATAACTTCTCCTTGCTATTTACCTCACACCAGTGTCTTCTGTCACAAGGTCTCGGTCCTTGTCCTGATCATAAGATTCTGATGAGGCTTCTGCGTTCTCCAGCAGAGAATGCACATCACTTGCAGAAAGAGTTGGTTTCTTCCTCTGTGATTTGGGGCCAAATGTTGTTTCAAACGTTTCTGTGTCAAGAATGTGAACTCTGGAGGTCTAACAAAAGACAAATTGATAAAAAATACAAATAATTTTTTATTTCCCCTCCCCCATCTCTCGCGACATGTAGCGTACAAGACCTTAGCTCAGTGCTACTCTGCAACCTCTGACAAGAGTTATAGGCACTTTCCTAACAACGTTTGAGTTTTCCAACTTAATCTCCGAGAAACTAAGAGAGGACGTTTAATAAGCAACAAAACACATCACACTTGCCAAAGAACTATGCCTCAGTTCTTTCACCATAAACCTCGTCAAATGTAATTAAGGCTACATTGATGAAAATTTAGCTGCTATCTTTGATCATTTCTTGTTTTTCTAATAAGTGCACAAATCTCGCCAAATTCACAGATTTTTTGTCAAGGATAATTACAGTCAAAATTTTAGGTTTTAATGCCTGCAGTGAATGCCAACTTTTCTTGGAAGTGCATATAATTTAAGCTAAAAGAAGTTGGTTGTTTTTGTAATGCGCATCTTAGTTTCTGATAAAAAGGTTACCTAAATTAAGGAAAACGTTATTACATAAACCTGGAAAGTTTCCATATGAAACACATCTAACAAGAGTCGAAAATAATAGTTCGGACATCACGAAAGAAACATGGTATTAACAAACTTGATCAAGTTACTTGCAGTGAAGTTCACGTGCAGAAGAATTTTTGACTCAAGATAAAACAAAAACATACTGGCGTTCAAATTCATCACGCAAGAGCGTTAGCAGGGTGAAGCTAGCACCCTTAAAAAAGGGCCTACGTATCACATGAGCTATTAGAAACATTAGAATATGAGGCTGCAAGCTGCTATAGTCAGCCTAAGCTAGCACTCTAACCTTAAAATGTTAGAGGGTAAATTTCCTCACAGAAAATGAGAATTCCTAATAAATAATACAGATCTTCTCACAAACTACAGGGAAGTAATACATTGTTTCTTTGCCTTTATATTTGCTGTCCAGCTGATAGGCTCAAGAACATCCTTCCCCTCTCAGAAAAAACAGTGATTTGCCCTAAATCATCCCCCTGCTTGTAGAGCATATCAAAGAGCATTTCACCAGACTGAATGCACGCAGCACAATCTTCACAGATAAATGACATTCATGACCGCTCATGCTCATAACCTAGCCTTCACCCTACATAGATGAATGACACACACATGAGGTTTGATCCGATCATGGAAGAGGGACATTGGTAACTTGCTTTGCTTCATCACCACTCTGTAAGGATCTTTCATGACAGTTTCCATTTCTTCTTGAAATTTCTGTAGGGATGATTGCTTGATCACACGAGTATTTCCTGCATGTAAAAAAAAAATTGCGCTGCACCACTCCCCATAACAACTGCTTCAGAGATCGAGGGTACACTAATAAAACATTGGTGCCCCATCTGGGACAAAAAAATACCAGTGACAAAAAATAGAGGATATATGCTGTACATAACACACATAGGTCACAACATTCACATATATGGGTAAATCCAGATTCACAGAAACAACCAAAGTGGACACAACAACCACACTTCAAAGCAGTATACAGAAAGCAAACACCAAAAGTATAGGTGCATGCAAAACGTACCACCTATCCCATCACCTTATGTTACCCTATTCCCCAGCCTACAGCGAGGCTCCTTCACCTTCAGCAGCTGTCCTACACAGCAGTGAGACCAGGATGTTGATATAAACACACTCTCCAAACACACAAAGTTCAACAGTCTTTAAGCTCGTCAAGTCTGAAAGTTGAAAGACTCACCAAACCACTTAATATTTGGTTCCACTCTTGCAACGGTGCCTGGTGCCACTGTTGACTGATACTGCAGAGGCTTAATCACTTTACCACGTTTGTTTCTGAGTGACAAATGAGAACACATGTAAATGCTCAAGGGCAGCACTCATCCCTCTAGCAAAATTTTGTTCACTAGAGCAGAAGTCTTTTCGCAAAATCGACAAAGCCTCATTCATCTAGAAACGCACCCCTGGAATTGTTACCAGCAACAGTACCGCCTGCAAAGCGGAGTCATTTAAACACTGGAACAGGAGAAGCGGAGGGAACAGTGTATATGTCCTGGAACGAGGTCACGATGCCAGAACTGCCATACTTACTAAATATGCTGCAGTCTCCTTAGCAATCGGTACCCAATCTGCCACTTCAACCACTGTCCAGGCTTAGATGGTGGAGAAGTCACTTTCCAAGAGTAAAAACACAGCTTCCATTCACTCTGAGTCCATCTACGCCTTTACGTTTGCACAAAGGCAGTAAGTTTGGCAGTACAGCCACAGCAATTAGAAGAGCATACCTACTGACATATGCTGTCTCAGTGAGTCTTTCTTCTCACAAGGACTGATTACCACAACAGGAAGGACTCACTCTTCACTGACTCAGGGCCAGACTGGAAAGTATCCCATCCCTGTCACTTCAGTTAAAAGACCATGAATTATCCTAGATTGATGTTTCTTTCCCCCCTCACCCCCATGTGCCAAACCATGGAGCAATGTCTCCAAAAAACACTCCAGAAGATTTCATATTTTGAACCCTATTCTCACTCCCCCCTCCCCGATATTAAGTACAAGCAACAATGCATATTTATAAGAACTTCTTGGGGACACAAAAGCACATGGGAAGTACTATAAGACAAGGGATAAAAGTTAACATGTGACAGACACAGAAAAACACTATTCTAATTTCCATACAGTATCAGAAATCCAATGACACTTGAAGCCAAATTCACCAAAACCTCTAAGTCCCACTTCAGCTTGACCAAAGTATAACTTCATGAAAACTTTATTTTTTCCTCCATGAATGGTTTACTGGGGTGCAAAAAGTAACAAAGTAATATTTCCTAATAAACACCACTTTCTTCTCTCATGCACTCATATGGAACTTTTTAAAGCAGCTGCAGCCATTGGCTTGCGCAAAACAAGGATCATAAGATAATTTCTGGGTTGAGACCTGGCTTAAACGTATGATTTTTTTTTTTAAAGTAACTGTGTATTCCCCAGTCTTCTATCAAAACAAAGAGAAATCTGGCAAAACAAAACGAAACTTTTAATCTGAACCAGCATCCTCAGAAACCCCATGGCACCTATCACTGGCAGGGATGCATGTTTGTAAGCTGGTAATTGCTATATAGCCAAAGACTCTCGAGTGGACTGAAGTGGTGTCTCTCACTAAAGGAACCAGATGGAACTCTGGCTCTTCAGACATTTCAGAGCTTAGCATTTCTGAGTTATGCTGTAGTTTTAAATGAACAAATACTGGGCATTTTTGGTTCCATGACATTCCAGTGAGATCATATCAGCTGCTGTTTCATGTGTTTCCCAGCTCTATGCCCCGATACGCATCGCTGGTGTGCTCGGAGTCCAAGGCAAAGCTCCCCAGCTCACGGGATCACAGGGAGCAGAGGGCAGGCTCCGCTCCAGCGGACAGGCGCTTCCTCAAGCGAGAACAGCTGTCCGCAGCGCGGGTCCGCCCGCAGCACGGGCTGCACGCGGCGGCATCGAGGGCCAGGCCGCGCCTCCGCGCC